TAAAAAGGTCTGAGTCCAGTCCCCACTCTCAAATCTCTCCTTTACTATTCTCTCCCATAGTTCAGGCATCAGCCAACTACGGCCTAGCAGACCAATTTACCCTGTTGCCTGTTTTTTTGAAAACAGCCATACTCATTCACTTACGTATTGTCCATGGCTGCTTTTGCACTGCAATAGCAAAACTGAGCAGTTACAATACAGGATGTATTACACCTTCAGAGTCTCATATACTTATTATTCAGCTCTTTTTTTTTTTTCCATTTATTTTCACTAGTTGGAGGCTAATTACCCCACAACATTGCAGTGGTTTTTGTCATACATTGAAATGAATTAGCCATGGATTTACATGTATTCCCCATCCCTGTTATTATTCAGCTCTTTACAGAAAGTTTGTCAACAACGGTTTTAGACCATTGACTAGTCACATCTCCTTTAAGAACATGCACATTCTCTTCATCCACCCAACCACTCCTCTATTTAAGTTCTATTCATCTATCAGATCTAACAAAATGACAGGTCTCAGGGAAGCCTTTACTTACCCTGTAGACCAGTTTTTCCTAATTCAGATTAGCCACATTTCAAGTGTTCAACAGCCTTAAGTGGCTTGGAAGGACAGTTCTGAGTTTGAGGTCTGTATATTTGGGAGCTCTCTGTTCTATTTTACTGGTCAATGTGACTGTCTCTATTTAACCACATTGTGTTAAATACTAAAGTTCTACACAAGTTGACAGAATAAGCAGATATGTCACCACTCCACCTCTGCCTTTCTTCTTCAGAAGTGTCCTAGCTATTCAATATTTGTATTTACTATTTACTTTTCCATATTTGTATTAGAATCTGTGTAAAATTTCTTGAAAAATCTTTGACACTTTAATGAAACAACATAATCTAGAGATGTAGTCTGAAGAACAATAACTTCTTTATGATAAGCCACATTCATGGATAGGAAGGCAACAGCTCCCCATTTATTTATATGCTCTTTAATGTCTTAAAATAATGTTTTATGCTTTTCAACACAGAGGTTTGCACATTATGTTACAATTACTCCCAGGCACTAGATAGTCTACTACGCTTTTGCAAATGGTGTCTTCTCTAACTATTTTTTCTAGTTATTTATTGCTGATGTATAGAGATGCAACTGACTTGATTATTGATGATATATGGAACTAACTTTGCTCTTTTATTAATATTATAATTTATCTGCAGATCTTATTTGGCGTTCACATAGGCCAATCACACCATCAGCCACTAACAAAAGTTTTGTTTCGTTCCAATACTCAGGCTTTTATTATCTTTTCCTTATCTTACTGCTTTAACTAGGATCTCTGTATAATATTGACTGGAAGTGGTGATATTATAAACATTCTATCTTGTTTCTGGGTGAAAAGGGAATTCATTTCCCTCATGAGGATGTTATTTAAAGTGATTTCACTTGTTTGTGTATTTATAGATACCTGTTCTCAAGTAAGCTCTCACCTGTTCATAATTTAGTAGCTTTCCACTAAATTAGTAGGAAGCTAATGAATGAAATTTTATCAAGTGGTTTTTATATATTGTTGAATTTTTTTTTGCCCTTAAATACATCTATAATCCCTTAATTAAAACTCTTAAGGTAACATGTATTTTAGAACTCAGAAAATTTCAGTCATTACCGATACTGTACAGTACAAAAAATGTCTATTACATAACAACCCCAACAAACTTTGGGTCAGTACCCTGTGTTAAAATATATGAATATATCTGCAGTGAACTATATGGACTTTTTTTTAGATAAGACAATGATTATATGTAGCCTCACACACCAGTCCATGTAGGATTTTCCCAAGAACAGAGTAAATCAGATCATGCTGCCGAATTCTACAAAAATTTTTGATTTTCAGAGGTTATGGATTTCAAAGTTGCAGTTAAAGGCCTGTGGACCTGCACTTTAAAATTTTTGCATGTGCACTCATAAGTAAAATGGGACTACAATTTTCCTTTCTTACATTATCATTGACTGGTTCTGGGACTAAGAATAGATAACTTCACAGAGAATAAATTAAATGAATTCCCCTACTCTTCCTATTTTCTGGATTTGTAGAACATTGGAATGACCTGTTCCTTAAAAAGTCTCCTGGAGAATTTTACCTGGGCCTGGTATTTTTGTGCTAAGATGTAACTACTACTTCATAACTTACTTAACAGTTACAGGATTATTCTAAGCTTTTTTGTCATGGACTTCAACTTTGCTTAACTTTCAAATTTATTGATCTAAATTGTTGACAGTATTTTCTACTATCTTATTAATCTGCTGCTGCTGCTAAGTCGCTTCAGTCGTGTCCAACTCTGCGACCCCATAGATGGCAGCCCACCAGGCTCCCCTGTCCCTGGGATTCTCCAGGCAAGTGGGCTGCCATTTCCTTCTCCAATGCATGAGTGAAAAGTGAAGGTGAAGTCACTCAGTCATGCCCAAATCTTAGCGACCCCATGGACTGCAGCCCACCAGGCTCCTCCGTCCATGGGATTTTCCAGGCAAGAGTACTGGAGTGGGGTGCCACTGCCTTCTCTGCTTATTAATCTGATCTATCTGTAATTAAAGTCCCCTTTTCATTCTCAGGGTTTACACCTCTTTTTAGCTGATCTTGCCAGATTTCTGTCTATGTTTCTAGTATTTTCAAATAATAAAACTTCTAGTTTTGTTGATTTCTCATTTGGTCTCTGTACCCATCACTTCAAAACTGAACGTGTACATCGGCCTCCTAGCTAGACTACCTGATGCCAATCTCCTCCCTATTTGGAATCTCAAGTACAAAACAATTTTCTTACTGCTTAGGCTCTGCTTAACTAACTGCTTCTGGATTTAAACTAGCTCTTGAGTTTAGCAGACTCTTGTAAGTTTCAGTTCAGTTGCTCAGTCGTGTGGGACTCTTTGTGACCCCATGGATTGCAGCACTCCAGGCCTCCCTGTCCATTACCAACTCCCTATAAAGGCAATGACATTGCACAATACCCTCAACTGGGACAGTTTCCTATTGTATCTTAACTTGCCTAGACACAATTTTACACCTCGGTACAAATGACTTACCCCTCTTAAAGTATCTTTTCTTCTTCCTAAAAACCAATCAAAATACTCAAAACTGGTGATTTACCTTTTTCATGAAGTTTTATGAACCTAACTCTATACCCCTATGGTGATCTCTCATCTTGTATTCACTTAATACATGTATCTGACAGTATTATCACAAAATAATGTATATACTTTTTTATTTAATCAAGTTACCACATGCCAAGCACTATTTTAAATAACTATGAACGTATTTCTCATAGGGAAATATGTTTATCTCCATCTTCCTTGAAAGGCATATACAGAAGTTACACAGCTAGTAAGCGGATTCAAACCCTAGCAGTCTGGCTCTAGATCATGTGCTCTTAACTGTTATACTATGCTTCCCTACAGTGCTCTAGTGTTACTTTTCTACCTCTGTTCCAAAAACAGGGTACTGTCTTTCAAACTAACATTTAAGCTTTTTTAGGGATGCGCATCTTCAATTCTTTTATATCCTTCAACAGCTTTTTGTACAGACTTAACCATATAGCAGGTTTTTAGTGAATGCTCACTAAATTGAAACAGAAGACAACTTACTCAAGTCCACCTTACACAATGAAAATAATTTCCAGGCAAACAAAAGCTGCACTAAAATGCTCCAGCTTTTCCATAATGTGTAAAGGAAAAAATACCACGGATAACTATGATATAAATAGTTAGCCTTGAAGACATCCAAGGCACCTCACTGTACATATATAATACAAAGCTCTAAAGTATAATTGCAGCATAAAACTATATTTATAAAGCTGCATTGTAACCTATGTTTATCTTTTTAAGAACAGAGGTTCAAACATTTAAGTGACATTTACGTTTAAGGTGAAACACTGAAGGATTAAAAAATCACTTATAGATCTAAAAGCTTCCAAAATATCATGTTTTCCAATTCTCTTAAGTTCAAGTATCGTAACACAATGAATCTAAAATTTAAAGCAATGTTTATATAGGCATGTCTTGGAGATAATACAGGTTGAGTTCCAAACCACTGCCTAAAAACAAATATCACAATAAAGTGAATCACAGAAATTCTCTGGTTTCCCAGTGCATGTAAAAATTACATGTACACTATATGGCAGGCTATTAAGTGTACGACAGTATTATGCCTAAAAAAACAATGTACGTACATCAATTTAAAAAATGTAGCTAAAATGTGTTAACCATTATTTGAGCCTTCAGTGAGTTGTAATCTTTTTGCAATAGTAACATCAAAAATCACTGACCACTGTAACAAATATAATAATTTTAAAATCTGGAATATTTTGAGAATTACCAAAATGTAACACAAAAGCAAGTAAGAAGTAAGAAAATGCTACTGGAAAAATGGTGCTATGAAGCCTTGATCATTGCAGGATTGCCACAAACCTTCAATTTGTAAAAAATGCAGTATCTGGGAAGTGCAAAAAGCAAAGCGCAACAATATATCAAATATGCCAATATATCAAATTAATATATTTATGTCAACAAATCAAGCTGCAAAACTGCTAAGTCAAATGGGAAAAACAGACAAATAGGATGTTTACAGACAAACAGAAAATGAACAAAAGCATTTTATATCTAAGTTTCTGTAGACAGAATCTACATATTCACCCTAGAATTTTTATGCTGAAGAATACAAAATCAAACTTCCACTCCAAATAAGTTTTTTGCTGTTCAGTTGCCCAGTCATGTCTGACTCTTTGCAAAATAAATAAGCTAAAGCACAAGTAAATAAAATGAAGTAACAAAAAATAAAATAAAGTAACAAAAAATAATCAATCCTCACAAAATATTCAGAAAATTAAAGAGCTGCCAATTACACTTACTAAATGACAGCCAGCCTAACTTCTCACTGACGTCAAATCCATTATCTTAAAAAACAATTTTTTAAAAGTCAAAACAAACATCTTCGGAAACATTATGAACCATACATTGAACTTACTTTTTTGTCTTCTTTGACTTTGTGGGTTTTCTTCTTCATCTTCTTCTCATCTAACTCTTGGTCTGAAGTGATTGCAGGATTATCAATACCACCTTTCCAAGTTTCAACAGGAGAAAGCAGCGGGTCTTCCTCACTTCCACGATGTCTTCCTTTCCTTTTTGCTTTAGAAGTCGTGAAAGCCTCATCATCACTTGCATCTGAATGTGTTCTTCTGTAGTATGACTTGGCTTTACTAAATAGGGTTTTAGATTTATATTTGTATTTTGAAGGTCTCCGTTCTCCATGACTTTTCGAGGTTCTATCAGAAAATCCATTCTCTTCATCTCCTTGGGTGTTATTTACAAATGAGTTTCTAATTTTAATAACACGATTCTGACTGTCATCTGGGACAACGTATATCTCATCAGAATAGCCCTTCTGCTTGAAAATTGTGTCAATGGGTTCTGAGTAGTTATCTGAAGGATCCATATCTTCAGGATGTGCCAAAGGCACCCGAGAAGTCTGTTTTCTTGGATTTTTACCAATACCAGCTTCAATTGTTTTTAAAAGGTTTGGATCCAATTTTTTCACGTTTGTCTTCGGTGCAACTGGTTTAGGTTTAATAGGTGGAGGCACTTTATGGTTGCGTTCATGGTCATGACAATTCGGGGTGCTGTGAATAGGGTATTCATTTCCTTCCAAATCTAATCTATATCTGGATCGGTCACTAGGTGTTGGAAGCAGCTGTACATCATCCCCAATTGGACTATAAGGAGGTGGTGCTTCTGTATCATCATCTGAATCAGGGTAGTTGTTGTAGGGAAAACAGTCTCTGGGAGATGGCAGGAAAACATCTTCACTCTGATGGGTTGATTCCCTTGTACTATCAGATAAATAGGAATTTTCTATCATATTTTTTTTCTCTAGAACATCACTGAAAAACAGTGTAAAGACCTCAGTTTGCCGATGATACTGAGATAAAGAATACAATGCTGTAAATTTAGCAGAGATCTCAGTTGCAATGTGTTCTCCTTCAGTCATTAACTCCTTGATGGCCTCATTTTCAAAAAAGTCTGCTTGGCTGTCAGTAACTGCCACCAGTTGTACAGGGATGGTGTCCTGAACCTCTGACAGAAATGCTCGAAGCATTCCCATTGATGCTTTCCGTTTGGCAGAATACACAAGTATATACCCATGAACCAGTTCATCTTTCCTGACTCCAATTGAGGAATGGTATGATAATATTGTGATCTGTATTCGCCGCCTTTTTTCACCAATGATTTTATCAAGCATTAGGGAATTATTCTGTCCAGCTTGGGCAGCACTACAAGAATGAGAATCAAGGAAGGGTGAGAGAATAAGATCCACACTAAACGGATCACCACACATGGCACACATGACAATTCTCAAGTCAGCTTCCGATACATCCTTATTGGTGGGAACTGGGCTCACCACATCTAAATTATGTTTAACAGATTCTAACACTCCTCTTAGAGCTTGCTTTATTTGGGTTTCATTAAATTTACGAGGATATGTACCACCAGGTACATCTACAAAAGGACATTGTAACTTGTTTGCCAACTGTTGCCCTTGATGCCTGAGAATTGGTAGATTCTTACTAATAGAATCTCTCTGATTAGCCAGAATTAAAGTAAATGGAAGGTTGGCCATATACTTATCTTTTCTGATCTGAGAAGCTTCAGTTCTTATTTTTCCAATAAATTCCCCAATAAAATTCAGTGACTCAATGGAATTAAATACACAAAAGCACCCATGTGGTTTAAAGGCAGCAGTCCATAACTGACTTAAAAAGTAAGGCGACTTGGCATCAACAGGCCGAAGATCAAGTTCATAAATTCTTCCATCTAAGGCATACTCATCGTCAGTGGATTGTGTCCTTATCTCATTTGCTAGTTCTTGGGCAAGGCCATCTTTCCCTAAAATGAAAAGGTTAACTTTATCTATATTGGTGCTATCATGATACAACCGTAAGCGACCATGATCCAACTGCAAAAGACTGCTGGCAAGTAACTGCTCTACTTTAATGTCTGTACAGTTTTGGCCACTAAGACACGTTTCTTTAGTGGGATGATAAACAAACCCTATGTGCTTAAGCAGAAGAGACTCCCTATCTGGTGCGAGCTTCTGTAAAGCTTTATATCTAGGTTCTTCACTCAAAACTGTATGAATTTCACTCATTTTATCTGAACTAGGTGTTGCATTAAGATCTAAATCATAAAAAAGTTCAGAATGTTCAAAAAGCATTTCCTGAAACTCTTCTTTGGCTTTTTCGACTATTTCTCGCTGATGCCTACCATACACCTCTTTGCTATCAGCCTCAGTGATGTATTTGAAGGCTTCATCCTCCATTACAAAGCACATAACTTCCTCCCATGGTTGCCCAGGTGAAATAAACTGAATTTTTTCCAAAGTCTTCTTGAATTTTTCCTTCATTTCTACCCTCCTCTTCTCTGATATTAGATGCTGTACATGGTTCTGATAGACTTTTTCAGCTTCTAAAGTGCTCAGGAGGTCAAATGGGATCCGTCTATCATTAATTTTGTCTATATGGTCAGTTTCATCCCAAGGTGTTTTTTCTAGCACCACAAAACATAACTGAAAATCTGCTCTCTTTTCCATTAACTTCAAAGCTTCTGACCAATTCAAATGTTCAATCTCTTCCAGATTTGGCAAAAGAGTGTTAAAAGCTCTTGGTAAAGTATTTATATATTCTTCTCTCCTTTTTCTTATATGTTCCTGTTTAAGCTGTTCTATGTGTTTTGAGAATGTATTTCTAGCCTTTCTTGTTCCCTCTAAGTTGATGTATTCTTCATAATCAGGATGATTTTTCAATTTGTTACTAACAGTTTTCCAAGTTGCATGATAATCTCTCACAGTCTGCACAAGTTTTTCAAACTTATCTGTTGCTGTGACAACAAGTTGTCTCTGTGTTTTATAAGCATCCAGATAGGGAATAATTTTAGGCTTGCCACGAGTTTTATCCAACATTTGTACCAGTGCAGTGAAACATGTCTCAATATTGACGTTAAATCGTGCTGATGTTTCCACTACAAGGAGGTTCTTTTTGTTTGAAGCAAAGGCCTGAACTTCTCTAAGATAATGATCCACACATTCATCACATTTAGTTGCTGCTATTATTACAGGCTTTTTTGATTTTGATAGTTGGACAAAAAGGTTATTCACAAATTTAAGTTGATCATCAAACTTCCTATTGCATCCCTGACTTACGTCAATGCACAATAAAAATCCATCTACATTGAGCTTCCCTTCAGGCATTTGCTTCTGTTCGAAATCTTGCTCCAAGCCTAGTTGATCAGTGCAAATGTACATTAGTTTTTCTGCTGACTGCAATTTAGAGGCAGCTGCACGCTTTATATATGGTTGCAAATTCGTACTCCGATGAGGCAAGAAAGTCTGGTCATCAATGAACTCAGTTTGTTCAATGACATGAATTTTGCATTCTACTCCATCTTCACCACTTTGCGTTATGTCACCCCAGTACAAAAAATGATCATTGTTTACTACTCGTCCTCCGAAGTCAATGGTGCTAAGCACGGAAGTGTGTTCTGGATAATACTCATCAGCTTTTGAGCGTACAAATCTATTGCACAAACAAGACTTTCCAACTCCACAGTTACCCTTGTCTTTTTCAGTCCCAGAGAGTCCAACCACACTGATGGTATAGGACGGGGGGCGAGGCTCTTTGTTTTTTGCCATCATAACTCTCTTGTCATGTCTCTACATTCATAAAGATAACCAGATATACTTCTCATTTTGAAAATAAAATCATCTCAAAATACATTTCAGAACTACATTTGGTTCTCTGTATTTCCCTCATTTCTGTGCAGAAAGGTCTTCAAGATCATATGGATCATCTTCCTAGAAAGAGAAAAAGGACAAATCTTAGTCATGAATATACATGCTGAACTATATACACATTAATGTTCACAATAAAGCACCAGACAAGTTAACAATGCCACAGTATTTTAAGAAATCACCAAAGACAGTTTATGATTTACTATTAAAAGTGCAAGAGGACCCCAAAATTTAAGGCAAATCTAACAACTAAAAAAACTAAATACAAATTTTAATGTGATCTTACAAACTTTAAAATAAAACCCTATTAACCAAATATGCATTTTGTTTCTAGTCCTTCCCTTCCCTCAATTTTCCTGTCTTCTCTGACTGGAGGCTATGTTTGATAACTAAAACAAACTAGTTGCCTTAACAACTCTCTCTCAACTTAAAAAAAACTATCTGCTTTCTATTACATGGTTCCCCAAAACTTATTCCCTAAAATGGAATTTCATGTGAATTTAGCAAGATCTTAGAATTTAAAAAGTCTTATGCAATCTATCAAATATTATATACAAAACCAATTAAGTATATTCATATACGTAAACAAGAAAATGGAAAAAAATGAACAGTTAATACAAATCATTACAGTGATTAGCTGGATCAACACTTCTCAAACTAAGGACCAATGTTTATTTCATATCTGCAAGTCAATTTTTAAAAATACAATGAAATTTTTAATCTGAATAAAATCTTTTAAAAAATGTAGGCCCCAATTTCTTATTAGATTCAAGAGACAAAAAATTACTGCCAAACTGTTTCTAAATGTTCCTGATTCCTACATTTATTTCCTCTCAGAGTATTTACAAAGAGCTCACAGATCTTATTTTGAGTAGCACAAAGCTCAAGAATTTTTTTTTAAGAATTTTAAGATTATATATCTGAAACAATCTTTTAGAATTATTTGACATAAAAACAACAAATAACCCTTAAAACTTACATGTAATTTAATTCAGGTTATTTGCGTGGAAACAATGAATTAGTCTCTTATAATGGTTTTATTTGAAGACTCTTCACATTCTTTTGAGGTTGAATGAAAAGCAATACATAATTTCTACCATACCAAATTTCACAAGGAAAATATCCAGTCATGTATATCAACATATATGAAAAATACCTTCAATCCAGACAAACTAAAAGATCATAAAGACCATGAGGGAAAAAAAAATTAAAGGTCAGAAAATAACCACTATTTGCCCCAAATATGTGGTTTCTCCACTACCCTCAAAATTGCAAGTAAATATCTATTAAGATTATAGTCTACATCTGCTATACTAATGGTAAAAAGAAATTATTCTTGCAATTTAAAATTTTGACTAATATTTCTAATACAATATTTTAAAATAAAATCTCAAGATTTATTCTTGTATTCTCTAAGTTTATCCTAGCAACCTCAATGAAATACTAATTTTAACTGTATCAGCCACCAAACACTCAAGCAAAGTATTTATTAGGTTCACTTTTGTAATATAATGTTGAAGGACCAAAATTAAGTAGAAGAAAATCATGAGTAAATGGAAATAACTTCAAATTAAATTCCTAACATTTATTAGTTTACAACAGTGAAACCCTAAATCTTTTGAGACACGGTTTCCCCATGTATAAAATGAAGCTGCCTATCTAAACAAATTTAAGAACTAAGTTTTTCTTTGTTAATGTTAAATGCAAAGAAAAAAATGCTTAATAAATATTTTCTGTTTTTAAGATTTGATTGTTGGAATCAAGGAAGCTGTTGAAGATTTATTAAAAAATGACATGTTCAGGCTGGGGACTTACCAGTATTTATCTGAGAGCAGTACATAAAATAACTAGCAGTGTAAGAAATTAGGGCAGTCCCACTCAATCCTATTAACTTTCTTTTATCAAGTAAAAAAATTTTAAATCCTAATGTGATCAAACTGAATATTTGCACTGAGCATCAAGTTTAACATTCTCTACTTTAACTACAGAAAAGAACAATTGGGCTACTTAATGGATACTTACTGAAAAGAAAACAGTGAACTAACTGGGTAACAAAGTTATAAAGAGCAATAAAAAGGGAAATTAGTTTGTGAAAATAACATAGTGATTCCATAACAAATGGTTAAAAAAAAAACAAAAAAAACCCCTGCAAGCATCAGGATACAAAGTCTGTCTGTCTTTCTTACTAGACAAGCAAAAAATTGCAGACAATATCCTCTTAAATGTATACCAAAAGAAAATATAACCAGTAATTACTTCAGGGAATTTTTACATTGAATTCTACAAACACCAGAACTATGCAGAACTCTTGATTAACTTTGGTGGACAAACATCTATTCTGAAAATTAAGAGCAATTCAAAGCAGTGAAAGACTGTTCCCTGCTTTCCAGTTTAAGAGACACAAAATTTTCAATAGAAAAGTAACAGTATGTCATATGGACCTGAGTATTGTGGAAATTTTTCAACTATAAATCTAATTCTTATCATAATGGTTACATCTTGGTTAATATTTTTTACAAATAATTATCCAAACACATTAAAAGAATCATTCATGCTCTCCTAGAGCATAAACCTCAGAAGACTGAGATACTTTTCTATATAAAATTATCCAGCATAAAAGTCAAAAACACTACCACAAAATGAATTTTTTGAAAGAAAAAGCCCTTAAAAGGTGAACGGAAGCCATGAAGTCATCATCCTTTTATCAGTCGTTGAAAACTGGAAGGCTTTTTATTTAATAGAGAAATAAAACTCTATTGTATTGACAAATTTTCAGTACTAAGGCTTTGACACATCCTAATTAGTGGCAGTCTCTGACTTACAAATATTAAAGTTCAAATTAAAAGCAAGGTAGCCGTGTGTGACATGTGTGGTTTACAGACCAAATTCACAGTAAACTACCACAGTGAAGAACATCCACGTTCTTTCTACTAACAATGTTCTCAGGCAGGCTACCCGCTGGCATTTTGAAGTCAGATCCAGAGTTTTTGTCATGAGTCACCATATAGTGATTATCAGGTGAGAAAATTCATTTATCTAGAGGTAGGAAAGAATGCTAGACAAATAGTTGCTCTCTCCAACTCTTCACCATAGCAGTGCCTTCTTTATCTGATTTACACGTTTACTTAACTCAGAAGCTTTTTAAAAGTGTCTTCACATTTTGAAAAAGTTTGAGAAATCCCAGACTAGAAAACTATTGTCATCGTGTCCTCGAAAAGATTTTGTCATTTGAATGAGTATGGTATAACTACCTCAAGGAAGAAAGTTATACTTTCTATACAGGTTTATAAGGAAATTTACTTTCAGACACTTGGATAGTTTATGTAATTTATCCACTGGCCCTCACTATTCAAGTCAAAATTGCACTCCATTAACTAACCAAGGTAGTTTTTCTTCTGTACTGTGAAAAAAAGAATGCCTTTTAAAAATTTTCCACTAATAAGCTAATGGCCAAGGTCTATAGGCAGGCTGTTAGATTAAATTTGAAAACTCCTTTCAAGTATTTTTAATGGCTAATACTTGACTATGTCGATCTAGACATACCTTTTCTATTTTTGACATAACTTAATCTTTGTAAAAAAAAAATATATAGAAACCAAGATAAAAAGCAATAATGACCTACTCAAAGTTACAGGGTTGAGTCTCTTGATGACCAATCTTTACCTTCTTGAGCATTGTCACTGTTGTTTACTAAGTCATGTTCAACTCTTTTGCAACCCCATGCACTGTAGCCCACCAGGCTCCTCTGTCCATGGGATTTCCCAGGTAAGAACACTGGAGTGGGAAGCCATTTCCTTCCTTCTCCAGGAGATCTTTCCGACCCAGGGAGTCCACCATGTCTCTAGCACTGGCAGGCAGGTTCTTTACCACTGAGCCACCAGGGAAGCCCTTCTTAAGCATTAGTGCTACTTGTAGTAACCTGCAATGTAATTTCTCCTCCTGCCTTTAAGATTATCCTATAAACTTTCAAGGAAATGTTTAGAATAAGTATCTCTACAGAAATTAATGACAATGTATAATCTTTAAGTTGGGCAACTGTGTTGAAATGAAGCTATCTCTACAACTAAGTTTTGAAATGTTTTAAGTCATTCAAACACAACATAATCTTTTAATGGAGTTTTAATAACATGAAGTGGCTTTCTGCAAAAACAAAAAACAAAAAACAACTTCTTTAAAGTTCTATAAGGAATCTAGTCAACTGAAAGATTCTTAGTAACTCTGGATTTAAACTAAATTTTGTAACTTTTCACAAAACCATTGCACTCATGAATAAAAAGTATATTTTAAAAAATATTTCACACTTCCAATTTACTATATGCTGTCAGGAAATTCCTGCTGGCCTCATCTTCAAAATACATTCAGAAATCATCGCTTTTCACTACCTTTATTGCTATAAATCTGATCTCATTCCATTCTCATCTCTGGCTCTTCATTATTCCAAAGGCTTCTCAACTAATTTCTCTGCTTCCTCTCCTGCTCCTCTTCCTCAGTCTGTTCACAGAACAGTCAGACTATTTCTTTTAAAACATAAGTTAGACTCTCCCTTTCTTTAGGTTAAAACTCTCCCGTGGCTCCAAAAAAGTAAAAGTTAAGTCTTTTCAATGGCTTACTACAAAACCTACCTTCTCTAACCATATCTTACTCTCTGACCTATTCCCATTTTATTCTCCCCATTCCTCATTCTATTCCAGTCACAGTGAAGAACCCTGAACAAGCTACACATGTTCCTACCTTCGCCCTTACTTTCCCTAACAATCTCCAAATTCCCCTTTGCCTATCCTAATTTACTATACAACTTCTTTATTATTTGTCGTTAACTCTATCCCTCTCCCCTCCCCACTCTAAGTTTTTAAAAGATGTACAGAGGGTGGGATGATCTTAGTGAACAGCATCGAAACATGTAT